TATTTACAGTGATTAATTATCAAAGGTGAATGGAAAAGGGGAATAACTTCTCTCAGTAGAATACAAATTAATAGAGCCCTGCCCAGGACTAGAATGCTTAGACAAATGGTCCAGATGTTCAAAAATCTGGTAGAAATACGCTTAGTACTTATATCATTTAAACTTTTACTCAGTTTTCTTCCGATATGCCCAGAAGCAGAGAAGAATTTCACAGGTACAATGCATTTTCACTAAAGATTCAACAAAGCCTTACCCTAACACCAGAACCCAAGACCAAGGGTCAAGAAATTTACAAATTTGGAAGAGTTACCCTCATCATCATAACTATGGACTTTAAAGAATTAACACTTTCCACTATATTATCAAAAGCCCCCCCCCCCCCCTCGTTATGCCAGAACCCCTGACCCTAGGACCACAAGATTTAAAAATTCTGTTTGAAGCTCCCATTTTCATCATAGCTAAGCAATTTATTTATCAGCTTATAACCATGGAACAGACAGGATTAATTAATGATTAATTAATAGAATTAATGCTTTTTCACTATATAATCAAAACAGCCCCCCCCCCCAGGAACCCCAAAAACTGGGGCCATATATTTAAAAATTTTGGAAGAGGCATCCTTGCCTATCATAATCATGCATTTAGTTTGTTTAAATAATCTCCAGTAGCAGAGAAGAAAATTTTCAAAGAATCAATGCATTTTCACTATATAATCAATAGAGCCCCGCCCTAACACCAGAACCCCTGACCCTGGGGCCATGAAATTCACAATTTTTTAAAAGGCATCCTTATGCATCATAACCGTGCACTAAGTTTGTTTAAATAATACCCAGGAGCAGAGAAGAAGATTTTCAAAGAATTAATGCATTTTCACTACATAATCAATAGAGCCCCGCCCTAACACCAGAACCCCTGACACAGGGGCCATGAAATTCATAATTCTGGAAGAGGCCCACCTCCTCCTCATTACTAATATGTACTTAGTTTATCACCTTAATGCCCAGGAGCAGAGAAGAAGATTTTCAAAGAATTAATGCATTTTCACTATATAGTCATTAGAGCCCCGCCCTAACACCAGAACCCCTGACCCTGGGGCCATGAAATTCACAATTTTGTAAGAGGTCCTCTTGCTCATCATAACTATGTACTTAGTTACTTTATTAAATATCCAGGAGAAGAGAAGAAGATTTTCAAAGAATTAATGCATTTTCACTATATAATCAATAGAGCCCCGCCCTAACACCAGAACCCCTGATCCTGGGGCCATGAAATTCACAATTTTTGAAAAGGCACTTTTGCTCATCATAGCTATATACTTAGTTACTTTATTTAATTCCCAGGAGCAGAGAAGAAGATTTTCAAACAATTAATGCTTTTTCACTATATAATCTATAGAGCCCCGCCCTAACACCAGAACCCCTGACCCTGGGGCCATGAATTTCACAATTTTGGAAGAGGCACTCTTGCTCATCATAACTATGTATTTAGTAACTTTATTTAATACCCAGGAGCAGAGAAGAAGATTTTCAAACAATTAATGTATTTTCACTATATAATCAATAGAGCCCCGCCCTAACACCAGAACCCCTGACCCTGGGGCCATGAAATTCACAATTTTTTAAAAGGCATCCTTATGCATCATAACCGTGCACTAAGTTTGTTTAAATAATACCCAGGAGCAGAGAAGATTTTCAAAGAAGTAATGCACTTTCACTATATGATCTATATAGCCCCACCCTGGGGCCAGAACCCCTGACCCCGGGGCCATGAATTTCACAATTTTGGTAGAGGGCTCAATGCTTATTACAATGATGCCAACAGTTAGACTGCTTGATGTCCAGGAGTAAAGAAGAAGATTTTTAAAGATTGTATTATTTTTGGTGGTTTTAGCCCCACCCCTCAGGCCCCAGGAGGGCAGGGACCATGAAATTCACAATTTTTGTTCCCCTTCACCCATAAATGCTATATGCCAAAATTGATTGAAATTGGTTGAGCGGTTTCAGAGAAGAAGCTAAAAATGTTCAAATGTTAACGCACTGACGCACGACGAACGCCGACGGACAAAAACGGATAGCAATAGGTCACCTGAGTGACTCAGGTGACCTAAAAACCGAACCCCCACCTATGGGAGGGGGACTACCCTCCTATGCCGTCCCCTTTCGGCCCTTTTGGGCCTCAACCAACCCCCCCCCCCCCACATGAACTTCTGGATCCGCCACTGATCGAGATATGTGGAAAACAAAAAATCACGCCTGGGCGATTCTAAATCAGGCCGTGCATTGCTATATCTGGAGTGACTTGGTGAAATTGCGATAATTGTTTGGGTTTTTAACCTTATTCAAGATTATATAGGTACCACATACCGGAGTATTAAAACTACAAAAGTTATTACCTACCCACCCCATCTCCATGTTCATTTCCCTCAACAATATTCTATGTTTAATACGTGTGCGCCATCGGATTTTTTTTTTAATTTTACCCGGTTGAATCTTGGAAGCAATGATGACAATATAGAAGGGGGTCGAATATTTTCTACAGTATAAGCTTTTTATATACATCATGAACATAGACTATCATAGACTATATATTATTATAATAGAAAGAATTGGTCTTTTACCTGTTTACACTTCAGGTACAATTTTTCATGTTTTCATTCAACAAACCAAACTACATATACATTTGTATCGTACAAATGTAATCCTTGATTATTTTTTTTTTAAATAAAACACGTTAATACCTATAAAGACAATCGAAATTAAATATAAAGAATCATTGTAACACGAGAAAAAGTTTTATGTTTAATTCAGCATGGCAAACATGCTAGATTGCCGGCTTCAAACAATTTTCCACAAAAGACCCCAACCCCTATCCTACGAATACTGCCATCGACTGACACCGTTATCGGCTAGCGAGAGCTTATCTGTGTATCTCAATAACCACCTCTCTCTCTCTCTCTCTCCATAACTTTTTAACATATAATTATCTTATACATCTTTTAATCACTGTATATGACTGACATTATTGAGAAAATTTGAATGAAAAAAAAATTAAACTTTATGTGGGTTAACAAGGGACCTATATACTACTAGTATACATGGTATATAGGTCCGTGGATTAACTTATTCATTTAAAACATAACGAAGTCATTAAATTTAAAAAGGTGTAACTATGTATTTTTTGTAATTGCTTGACCCATATGGGAGTATTATGAATCCAAATAATCAATGATATAGTTTTAATTTTCATGATTTTTTAAAAGCTGTTTCCCTTAAATGAATTATTGTGTCGTAGAATGCAAATTTGGATTGATAATTTTATATTTTATTCTTGATGAACATTTTTTCTTTCCATAATGCAAAATATTAATGCATTATGATTGCGAAATAGTAAATAGGGATACACTGTCATACATTTAACATGTTCAAAGGATTAAAAATTCAGATTGTATATCGTATGGATAAATTGTATCGATCCCTCCAGCCGTTCACACCTTTGATTGAAAATCAATTGTAAAATTCACCCCGGGGCTGTAACCTGTAACCTTATAGAGTTTCCGTCCGACAGTCGCACGTATATTCAAGAATTCGGCTTCACGTCTATTGACAATTGCAGTCCCCTGTTTATATTGCGTAACTATCATTATGGAAAGACCTCGATTCCTACAAAAGACCAGTACATGTAGTATTGAAAAAAAAATCTACCGAAGGCTGTGATTGTTAAGAAAATATTAACATGTTTATTAAAATTGTTATAATTTCATGCTTTAAAATCACAGTTTAACAATTACCTGAATTTTATGCAGCAGAACTGTAGCTCTACGAAAATAAAAATACTGACAGACCTGAGAGCTACAATGCAACCCAATGAAAAAAAAAATTTACTATGCACAAAATGTTAAACTTTTCTGAAATAATTTTCTCGAATTATTAACCCAAATACCAAATAATACCGATTTCAACCAAATTCTTTAAATCTTTATCAATTCATAGTTCCGACTTTTCTCCCGAAGCCCCGCCCACCTTAGTTACTGTAACTAAGTCCCACATGATGGCGATACCGGCTTCATCATCCTCGGTGGCGACCGACAGTTTAAAGTCGATTCCGGACGATTTCTGTGTGAAATACCTACCCAATAGTTCAAAATTATCTGAAAAAGTTTTACAAAAGGGTTTGAATTACTTTACTCAAGGATATATCCATAATATTAAGATTTTCAGTTTGGATAACTCCGTACAAGTTGCAGCACGATGCTGGAGGTCCATGCGAAAAAATCAATCGCCGCACCAACTTAGTTTGGAAATAAAGAATAGTTCGATAACCGAGTCTCATTGCTCCTGTAAAATTGGGTATGTGTATAAATCACCCAAATCTTTGCGTATTTTTCAAGAAAATCTTGATAAATCAGGGTTTATATAGGTTAGGCCTAGGCACCTAGAATGTAAACATTTGTGACCTAATTAATTTTCACGGTAGATATGCAAACGTGATATAAATAAACGCTTGGCTCAGGATTTTTTTTTAAATATATAGGGCCTAATGAATAAATTCAGACAAAATACACATAAATATTATTGGCCAACTTCTCTATTTACTAGGCCAAACCGAATTCCTTTCAAGTTGGCAATTTATCTTTTTTTTCTTTTTTTTTTGGATAGGCCTAGGCCTAAATAATTTAAAAATCCTCAGGTATGAATACATGTACATTAGAAATAATGCTGGTCAATTTTCCTTACAGCTTAAATGGCCACTGTTCCCATGTAGTTGGGCTAATAAAAAGTCTGCAAGGGTTCAAACTCCATAATTTTTCAAATGTACCTGAACAACAAAGTTGTACAAGCATCCCACAGCAGTGGCATGTGCCCAGGGGGTCAAAGATCATGCCTGTCCCTATAAATCATGTGGTGGTAGCAAGACCAACTGAATCAAGAAAAAGGAAACCTGTGACATGCCAGTTAGACTTAAATCAAGAGTATGTGAAAAAGACAAATACTTTCCTCTTTTAGAAATATAACCATTGTATTTTTAATAATACAATATTCTTCATGGCTACAATTAATTGGCTATAAATATGAGATCAGATTTTATAACAGTCTTAATAATAAGATAAAAATTATCCACTTGACAAAATCTTAATTCATACATCATATTTTAATATCAGTCTACCCAAAGTGTCCAAAAATGACATAATGCAGCTGAGTTCATTAAAAGGAACCCCTCTGGAATACACAGTATCAGCAGAGCATCCATTAGTAAACACTCCCCTTGGTGATGTGCAGATAGGCTCAATATTGTCATATCAGGTACATGTTCACAATAACCACAATAAATATTTATTTTAAAAATATAAATGCAGTTGGGGAACTGCCTATAGTTTAAAAATACAGTACATGTATATATAAATTATCCATTGAACAATGCTAAATGCAAAAATCAATGACATGGGTCACAACTAACATGAATAAAGTAAACTATTTACTATGTTTATTGTCTGTTACAAACACATCATGGAATAATGTCAAGTGACAACATACAGACCAAATTTTGTTAATATTTTTAAATAATGATGTTGGAATGCGCACAGACAGTATCTTGTAGGTTTTAACTTTAGCAATAAGTCTTTCAATGTGCACACGATGCTTTGCAATTTTTTCAGTAAGGATGGTATCTGAAACTGACATCTGAGATGTTGATGAAGCCATTGGTGGAATATTCAGCAGTAAATTAAGTTTACATAATTCTTCCTTAATAGTAAAACCTTTATCAGCCATAATAGCATCACCATCTTTAACATAACCCTTCAACTTTAGTGTTTCAAGAACATCATAAAACCCAGACTGTTCACATATTTGTTTATCTGAAATACATCCTGTAAACAATTCGGATGCAGAAATCACTGAACCATTTGGATCACAACCAATTAATGCCTTTAAAGTAGTACTAGACTTATAATCACTATAAAGCTGACTTTGCAAACCAAGTGCACATGGTGCTTGTGCTCTAAATTCAGTCCCATCAATTATTATTAAAGTTGTGGGGTAATCATGTTTAAAATCTTTTGGCATGTTATTAATAATAATATCACGATGTGGCCAAATACAAAGTTGCCCTAACTTTAAGTACATAAGTGAAATCCAAGTATTGAATACAATTCCTGATGACTGTAGTGAAAGTTTAAACCTTACTGATATATCTTTAAGACCAAAGTTATGTCTTAGTCTACATAAAGTTAAAAACAGTCCATCTTGCAGTGACAATTTCCTTATGTCTTTGCGACCCTTTTCATAATTTATCGAGGATCCATCAGATACCAAAAATGCCAGAAGACTAGCAAATCTAATGTACACAATACCAGTGTAATACTTAAATACATTTTTCAACTTTCCCTCTCTTCTTAATACTTCATCAACTCCAAATGTTGGCTTCTGATTTTCAGATTTCTGTTGATCTTTAAGCTCTTTTACTTCTGTTTTCAGTTTGCAGATGGTGTCTTTATACTGCTTCTCTTTTTCTCTTAACATGTGTAGTTCAGCAGCCATTGCAAACAAATCAATCCCAGAAACCCCTAGAAAAGAAATTAATATATTTGTACTTCAATTGCTGATACTGTGAAATATTTTTCAGACAAAAAATATTAAGGAAGTTGAGCCAGCAATGTCAAATGGTTGTGGCAATACAGATGTGTTTCACCAAGCCCCTGTTCCTTTGCCACTGCAGTTTACAGATTTAAATGAAGATTACAAAGAATGTGAACCTATTGAAATTGAAATCAATACTCGCGAACAAAGCGAGTCTGCACTGTGGTATAATGAACGAAAAAAGCGACTAACTGCTTCTAATTTTGGCAAAATCTTACAAAGAAAATCAACACCTAATGACAAATTTTTAAAAAGCTTGTTTAGTTTAAAAAAGATTACAGCCCCCTCTTTGGATTATGGTAAAATTCACGAAAAGGATGCGAAGTCCAGATACTTAAGAGACTACCCGTCTAGACATATTCATTCATGCGGCCTTGTTATAAACAAGGAGTTTGCTTTCTTAGGGGCAAGTCCAGATGGTAAGGTTTGTGACAATGGCCAATGTGGCCTTCTGGAAATTAAGTGTCCTTACTCTGCTAGGAACATGACAATCACAGAAGCATGTGACAATATTAGAGATTTTTTTTGTCTGCTAACAATGACACAATTACACTGAAAAACACTCATGCATATTATGCACAAGTTCAGGGTCAACTCCTGATCACAGGTTGTACATTTTGTGATTTTGTTGTTTTCACACAAAAGGATATTTTTGTAGAAAGAATACAGCCTGACCTGCCATTCATGGCCACTATGCTTAAAAAATTATGTGTTTTCTTCAAAACCTATGCAAAACCATTTCTTGCAAATCAAAATGTACAATACTGAATAAAATAGAGAAACATTTTGCTTACAAGGTTCTTCTGTTTGTACAGCAATGTTGCTACTGTTGTTAATTTTGATTGGAACTTCATTCTCCATTGGAATTGAATCCACACTGCCTTCTCCATCCACGGTACTGTAATAAACAAAGCATTTTTTAACCATACTAGTTCATTAAAAAAATGAACTTTCAATGATCTGTGTGCATACAGTTTACATGTGGGGTTCTACCTTAGAATTCTCTTCTTTGATGACACTGTGTGATTTTCAGAATAATTTCGTTTGAGAGGTAGTCTTGTTGGCCGAAGAACTGAGCCATCAGCTGGTATTGGATCTGGAAACTGCACAGTTGGTCCATTACCTCCAACGAAATGCTGTAAATGATTTTAAGAAAATAATAAAACTTAATAGTATGTCCGAAATTTTTTGCTACCGTACTGGTATATTAAATGCATGACCATTTTTTAAAAGATTTTTCGTAGTCAAAGAAATACAAAACGCACGATCAGTCCTAGTCTGAATCATATTCTGTACACAGTCATCTTTATAAATAAAATCATTCCCTTTTTTCTCTCTTTCAACATAAAATAAGCCTCAAGCTATCCTCACTTTAGTGCCACCCGAATTTGCACGAAAATGTAGCATAATCTTGTACATCATGAATAGCGATTTACCTCGTTCTTGCATGTTTTTTAAATAAAATTTAATACTTATTACCCTTTGAACATGAAAATATCAACAGTCATACCTTTGAACAAACTGCTTTATGTTTATTTATCCGCTGGACGTTCAGCTGGTCGTGTGGGCGCCCGCATGCCTTGATCCAACGAAGGCATTTCTCCAGATTAGTCTTAGGTTTGGGGAACAAAATAAGCTTTACACCATTCTCTAACCTCTCTGGGTACCTCTCATCAACATTACAGGTCCCCCAAGCGCATCGCAAAACCATTTCGCCCAAAAGTTTGGTCTGCCTTACAGACTTCCCACAAGTTTATTTGTGGGACAACATGGCCGCCGATCGAAGTGTCTCTGTGCCTAATTATGCGTAACGATCTGATTGGCTGATAAAAAGCATTTGATTGACAGGCCGGAACTATGAATTGTTCTCGAAGCCAAATTTAATGCTGCCACCCAAAATGGCAGTATAAAAAGGTGAAAATTCCGATGTTCTCAGTGTAAGGCATATGCAGAAGGGCTATGACCAAGGGTTATAAGGTATGTTTTGTTATGGGAAAAATAAAAGTATATGTTAGAATATCATGTTTTTCGGGCGCGATAAATATACTCTCTGGTCGTCCGACCAATTTTTTTTTTCCAGATCAGCGACCTTACCTTAGCTTACCTTAATTCTTACACTATACAAAAGATCGCATGAATGTTAATATAAATGATTTTTAACAGCACGGCTCTATTTTCCCCATAGCTTATTATTAGTAAACCAAGTTTACTATTCCTATGGAATTAATTTTCGAATTTGAAGCATGTGTTAATCATTAAAGTATTCTTTTAAGGAACTTGCAAGACCACTTGATATTATATAGTTACATATTATTAATGCAAGGAAATGCATGATATGAAGGGAAAAGCAGTCAAGAAAATACCCCCCCCCCCCCACACACACACACACACACCACCACCACCACCACCACCGGCAAAAAAATGGACGGTAATTTTCCTTGTACATTCTGTCGAATTTTCAACTGCTTGACAGAAAGTACATGACAAAAAGTACATGTAAACTCGTAGAATAACTTTCAAATTTCTTTTCTGGTATCATAATAACACATAGGTATTATACTAGATAATTTCTATGGCTGTTGTTGACTTAATTCGAAGTTCACATTATTAAATATATAGTGATACCTAATGTGCTTTCTACTTATATCAGTTAAGAAAACCTTTTAAAAAGTTATCATGTTATGAAACTGTCTTAACTAGTAACTAAAATATGGAAACACACTGACAAAAAAAGAAACCTACATGTAATCCTTTGCAATATAGGAATGTGTTTGTAAAAAAAAAAATCACTCGAAAATTTCGCCAAAAGAATATTTCTGCTCCAGAGATCGAAAAATGTATTTTGAATACAAAGTACGCACTACCTTTAATTTTTCATCCTATGACAATACAGCTACATATAATTATAATAGGCTGCTCTTAATCATTTTGTTAAATAAATATAATTAAATTCATCAAAACAAAAATAACTGCACGATATTTGTTTTCCTTGACCCAATAAAAACCATGCTGTTTTTAAAGTGAATTTAATTATTTACTCTTCATTTAAAGTTAACTGATAATTAAACCCGTTTTGGAGTGTCCCCTAAATTCCTTAATTATTCTTAAAAATAACATAATATAAGTATAGTCTTGTTTTCACTGCAAGAATTGGGCATCCTATAAAGGCTTGGGTTGAACTGTAAATTTTTCAATAAATTATCTACATAATTTTTAATAAATATCTTTCCATAAATTTTACAATTCAATCTCTGTGTATATCCTTCCATTAATAAATGTAAAGAAGTTTTCATTTTCGGTATGTATGTAACGGTGTCTTATTATAAATCTGGAGCATGGAAATATAAATAAGTCCGTTTCAGGGTTCTACTGACATCTCCATTTATTACATTCACAGATGAACACATAGAATAGTTGGAATAATGGAACAATGAAGGAATTTGGAATAATGCCCTGAAAAATCATAATAACAAATAATAAATACATAGCATAAAATATTCTGATATATCCGTATCAATATAGTAATTACAATCTGCGGTTAACAGATACGCTGCATAAAGGGAGGTAACTCTGTACATGATTTACATACAATCAATGCCCCCTTTTAATATTACGCTTTGAAAAATATAAAAACATATATACGACAAAAACTGATGTATATGCTGCAATAATGTCTACACAGACTTTACTATTTCAGGATTGTCATAAAATATATAAAAACATTAATATCATAAATATCATACCAATCTATGGGACTGAGCCTCTCCCATTCATTGTAGTCACAATATGGCTCACTGTACACGTATGTCCAGATCATAAAACTACAAATTATCATAGTTTACATAAGTAAACCTATCATCATAAAAACATCTAGTAGATATATATAAAATAAAAAATACTTTCAATAAAATAGTTACTCCCTAATTACTGTCTCTCAAATCAGATTCTGACTGTGCTAGTGCTATGGAATTACGTAACTTTGGCAAAATTACAGATTTTACAGTTAAATCAAATATTAGAAATCATATTAGAATTAGTATATAAATGTTATCTTACCTTAATAGAGAAAAGTATTGTCTCTATCAATGTCAGAAGGTCGTAATTATAAAACTTGGTAAATACAACCCTTTCTGGACAAATACTGGACAAAGAATGACCATAACAAACAACTTTTTGGAGGGAAAAATACTGAACCAATAAAACACAACCTTACAAAGTCCAAACCAATGAAAACAGTGAATACTTCAAACCAAAGACCAAAGACCAGAACCTTCATAACCCAAGGCAATAATAATTAAGTACAGGTACTGCCTGTTCTACTTGGGTGACCTTTAAAGATTTAATAATGCATTTATATTTACAATTTAAAAACATATGAAATACATTATAGATTTATTAAATAAATTAATAAATCTAATACTGTAACACACTTCCCCTCCTTTTAAAATGACTTCCACGTCATTCAAATGGAGACTTACCACTTATCTGGTACTCTGGCATAATCAGGAAAATCTGAAATTAAAACAAAATTTATACAATTAAAACATTATAACTTTTCAGTAATCATTTTTAAAAATGCTTTTGACATATCTCTGTCCATTTTTGTTAGCTGTGATGCCATATTCTGAAAGTATATCAGTTTCTCTTTCCACTCAGGCTGTTGTGGTATCTGTTGACAACATACATAATTCTTCATCCATGCTGGCTTCTTTTTAACTCGTCCTGATCTCCTCGGTAACTCATCTGTCTCAATTTCATCAGGACTGTCATCCTTATCAGCATGGATATCATCAACATGGTCATCATGAACATCATCTTCATGGCCATCATAAGCATCTTGGTTGTCATCTTCTTGCAGATTACTTCCATCATCATCAAGGTTGTCTTCATCAATATCATCCACCATTCCACTAGCATCTGGCTCATCAGATGCTACACTATCCGCTTCCCCTGGCTCATCAATGGTTTCAGCACTTACCTGGTCGTCACCAGTTACAATGTTCAAACCTACTGCCTCCTCAGACAATGCCTTAGACTTTACAGGGTACTCCACTGTAAGACACAGATCATCTTCATCATCATCAGATTCCATCTGATGGAGGATGGCAGGCTCGTGACCTCTCTTACACTCTTCTCCATTTTTCCTCTGTCTTGCCCTAGGAACTGGAATGGGTGTCTTGGCTGATCCAAATGGTAATAAAAGATTTCTGTGGAGAATTCTTAACTTACCTTGGTTATCTTCTCTTTTAACTTTGTAAACCGGTATTGATGAATTGGGCTGACTTATGATGATGTATGGCTTATCTTCCCACTTATCTTGAATTTTATGCTTCCCGTCGAAACTTACAACTTTGACTAATACCCGGTCTCCTTCTTTCAAAATGACTCCTCTAACCTTAGTGTCATAATGCCATTTTTGTTTTAGCTGGGAATTCTTAGTTGCTGTTTTAGCTTTCTGGTATGCATCTTGTAGATTCCTCTGTAGTTTTTCTAAGTAAGTTGATGTTGAACTTGATTGAGAATTCCTTTCTATTCCAAAGACTAAGTCAACTGGCAAATTTGGTTCTCGGCCGAACATCAAAAAATAAGGAGAAAAACCAGTTGTATCATGTGTTGTACAGTTGTATGCATGGACCAATGGGTTGATGTAATTTTTCCAGTTATGTTTCTGTTCAGGATCCAAAGTGCCTAACATGGAAATAAGTGTTCTGTTAAACCTTTCTGTGACACCGTTGCCCATTGGGTGGTATGGTGTTGTACGGGATTTGGCAATTCCAGTCAGTTGACATAAATCTTTGATGATATTACTACAGAAATTAGCTCCTTGGTCTGAGTGCAATTTTTGAGGTAATCCATAGTGCACTATAAAATGGTTGAAAATGGCATCTGCTGTAGTACGGGCAGTCTGGTTCTTTGTTGGTACTGCTACAGCATACTTGGTAAAGTGGTCTGTAATCACCAAGATATTTTGGATATTACCTTTCGATGGTTCCAAGGTTAAATAATCCATACAAACCAATTCTAAGGGTTGAGTTGTTTTGATGTTAACTAACTCTGCTCTCTGGTTGTTAGGAGTCTTAAACTTGATACACCTGTCACACTGTTCTATCCAATTGCTGACATCAATATACATCTTGGGCCAATAAAATCTCTCTCTTATTAAAGCTATGGTCTTTTCTCTTCCGGGATGACCCATGTCATTGTGCAGATATTGTAGTATAAGATGACTGAATGAATTGGGAATGATGAACTGATGATGAATAATCCCATCAATTTTGGTTTCTCTCACAAGCAAATCATCTTTCAACTTTAACCTCTTGAAATTTCGATGAAGAATAGCCTCTGTTTCATTCTTTGCTGTATTCTTGGGAGGTTTTCTTCCTGCTCTTATGTATTCAATCATCATTGAAATGGTGTCATCATTCCTCTGTATTTCTTTTATATCAATATGGCTACTGTCTTTGTCTTGTAATTGTTGTACTAACTGGCATACAGAATGAGGCAAGGAAACTGGAAGGGTCTCGATATATGGTTGTTGATGTTCTGAATTAATAATGGCACTAATAGCTTCTTTATCCATAGTTTCTGTTCTTTCAGGTAATCTTGATAAAATGTCTGCATCAGTATTGGATTTTCCAGGTTTGTACGTAATGCTGAAATTGTATGAAGATAAAGCAGCTATCCATCTATGGCCAGTTGCATCTAATTTGGCTGTTGTTAAAACATATGTCAAGGGGTTGTTGTCAGTGAAGACAGAGAAAGTTTGTCCTGTGAGGTAATCAGAAAACTTCTCTGTAATAGCCCATTTTAATGCTAGAAATTCCAATTTATGGGTTGGGTAATTTCTTTCTGATTTGCTA